GAAAGAATTAGAATAATTTAATTAATTTCGATATAAAAAAACAGATTTTCTTGAATGACTTGCTCAGAGCTTCTATTAATCAAGTTATCAGTTACAAACTTTCGAAAGTATTTTGAATTACTTAAGAATTTAAAAGCATAAATACTACAATCTTAATTGATAGTTAGACATAGCCATTAAAAATGAGAATATACTTAGACAGACAAGTCATACTTGAGACAAAAGACTTACAGATTTATCAAACGTATCATGTAATTGTTTACACTCTGCATTTATGTCCCGAGATGAACTAGCACGTTGCGCGTAATGTCGCAGCGATTTAGATTTTAGTGCGATTATTCTTTTCATATTTTTGGATATAAGACACTTGTTTCGCAGCTTATCCATAATTCTTTGGCCCGTCAAATTATGTAGTCATGTATTCACAGCCTTCTTCTTTTATAGCACTTGTTTCGAATGAAAGTCAATCTGGCCAGTCTTGTGGATATAGATAAACAAAAGAGGTGTTATGCTAAAGAACGGAGAGTCAATATCTTTTTTAGTTTAATTTAGGACGTTTCATAGAATCGATCGTCACGCATATGCCAACAAAGATTGTACAACTGGTGCTTGTATTATAGTTTGTATTCAGAGCTGCACTTACCTTGTCCGTAAATGTAGAATTGTTAACTAATGAAAGAAGGGGAAGGAAGGGAGAAGTACAAAATGACCTTTTTTATTCTTTATTTATTTTGTGCTATTTGCTCCCTTTTTTACAATTGCGAATTGCGGCAATCTGTCTAACAGTCGATAAGGGATCATTTATATTAGCCGTTATCGTACATGGTAATTTGTAAGAATTGATTAATCACATTCGAGTATTAATTTCTCTCTCATTCAATTGTAAGAGAGGAATGCTAATTAGTCAATTTTTACAGATAACGGCATACGGGCATAAAAGTTGAATCTCTGCTATGCACGCAGTTGTATTGTCATAAATATCGATCGGCATTCACGTATTCATTTTAAAAAGGTCAAAGTTTTTAATTTTTAAATTCCTTTGGTGTGGATTTTCATATTAAGCTAAATTTTGGGTGTGGAGTGCTCCACGATTCCACATTATAGTTGCCGGATCTGTTTGTATTTGTTGTGCGCCGAGACGGAGCATTGCATGCTCCGATTTGAAGGAGAAAAGAGAAACTAGCAATATATTTGCAGGCAATAAAATCTCGAATTTAATGATCAAAATTGATTTCAAAATTCTCTGTGTTATACTGTCTATTTTTTGTTCATTTTTATAATAAAAAATCATTTATCATGTGTGTATGAGGAGAAGAATAATCATCTCTAAAATTATAACCTAATTCTCCAAAAAAACATTTCCATTCTAGACGGAAATATTTTTCTTATCAATTAGTGCTACTGTGTGTATTGCCTTGATTAAAACGTCAAGGTCCAATAGATTAGAATAATATTATTTCTATCTACAAATTCTTTGTCTATCCATAAGCTGTCTCCTCTTAACACGTTAAGAGTACTTTTTGTTTCGTTATCAGAAAAAAATTTCTGATAATGAAATAAAAAATATTCTTGACGTATTAATCTTATCGCAACCTTATGCAGTATACAGAAATAATAATATTAACATCAGATCAATTATTCTTTTGAATTAATAATTAATTCCTCTCTCTTGAATTTATTAATTAATATAAGATCAATTTATTGCATAAAACAAGAATAACAAATATAAATTTAAGTAAATTTAAGACTCTTAATTCTTTTTACCTTTTATTATTGTTAAATTTAAGTTTATATATATTTTTACGTTTATGTGATAAATCTTTATCTGATGTTATAACACAATCTACAGCACAGATCATTTCAAAAATATACAGAGTGTTCCGAAATTTGCAAATTAAAATACAATAAACAATTTTTTTTTCAAAAAATTAAGTAAGAAGTTATTTTTAAGCGATAATTTGTGAAAAAATAATTGTCTAAATACTAATTACAGACTGCATTTAAATGCTGAAATGTGCACTTACTAATACTATTGTACGCACGATTGGACAGGTGACCATCTAAACGTATAATCTTTGTAATTAGCTACATTTAAACTCTTATATCTGAAAAAAACTATTGCTTGAAATAAAAATGTATATATAACTTTTTACTCAATTTTTTAAAAACTTCCTTGCTGTGGTATTTTGATTCGCGAATTTCGGGACACCCTGTATATTGCAAACATTGCAATAATGATGTGCTGACACCAATTTGATTTAAAATCGATATCATTATTTATTCTAAATTTAAGAATTTTCTATTTAAAAGTAAAATATTCCTTTGTTAATAATAATAATAAATAGGATTGTCCTTATTAATTTTATTTTATGATAAAATAGGATTGAATTTGGAAATCTTTTCCATAGGTGTCGCATATCTTTAGAAATAATAGAAATAAACGCGTTTTGAAAATAAATAATCTTCTATGTTTTATATTTTTTTATGTTTATATGATTTTTATGTTTTTTTTATGTTTTTATGTTTATCTTTATATCGTTATATCGCTATCTATATATAAATAATTAATTAATTAAGAATTAATTAATCCCGAAAAAGAAATTTCAAAATCGAGTAAAGTATTTGTGAATAATTAAGATACATTAAATATTTATGAACACACAAGATGCATTTTGAGATATCGAAAATATTAAAAATATCTGAACTGCGTCATATATTTCGTTATTTCATCAAATTTGTTTATCTGATATAGAAGACAGATAGAGAGATGTATATTTAATATAATGATGCATATAGTCAATGACTCATTCTGTGTTTATTTCAAAAGCTGTGTATTACGTTCTTCGTTAAAACGAATGATAAATTGCGGATGAGAGTTATGTTTTGGCATAACGAGCGAAAGTATGTACCTTTATTTCTTTTTGTATAATTAAAATTAACAGGAATTTCATAAGCATCGATGCGGGAGATTGTGTAAATTAATGGTTAGATTAGATCCATCAGCGTAGCCAGGAATTTATTTAGGGGAAATAAGCTAAGATTAAATTAGAATTGAAACTTTTAAGCTCGAGGAGAAATAAAGAAAAAGTATCCAGACGATATCCAAAATTGGGACATTTTATGTCTCGATATTACACATACATTATATACCATCTTATTTATTCTTCTTTTACGAATTTTCGTCCCTGCCAGAATAAAGTATCATAAAACCGAAGAAAGAATAAGATAATGAAGAAGAGAAAAAAGAGGCATGATTACGTCAGAAAGAAGAAGGGAACAAGTTTTTATAAAGAGCTGAAGGAAAATTGATTTTACTCCACTGTCTCCTTTTAAAGCGCATGAAGTGTAATTGACTAATCGCGAGACTTCAATGGCACTCGTTGCTTTTCGACTTGCGATTGATCGATATGTCTCTCTCTTATTTCAATACGCGCATATACGATTTCAATGTAATTGAACCATGATGTAAGAATACAAGTTGTTCCATATTGCGTATAGTAGTGATAACAATACTGGAAATAACCAATCAAATTTTGGCCTCTATGCACTTTCCTGCGTATAATAGTGTTGGCTTATTAGAACAGCCAATCAAATTTTGATCCCAAATTCATTCTCCTACTGCGCATCCTCAGGAACGATATACCTTGTCTTCTTACATGGCTTCAACTATATGCGATTAATTAACTCGAATATTTAGCATTAAATCAACGAATGCGCTCGTTTAAGGAAATGTGTCGGAAAACCTGTCGCAGCTGTCGGAATATTTTAACTCGACTAAGGTGTCGCGGATATGAAAGAGATAAAAAATCGGTTTATCGTTTTAAAACTTGTGTTCTTTCTGCCCAACTCTAGTTCACTCAGTTTGTAACATACCAACAGGTCACATGTGTCATTAATGAAGAACAAGAAACGCGTACCTCTTGGCAATTAAATAATAATGATAATTGAGAATGATTAAACAATACATACCAAGACTACTGAGAAAAATAATCGATTTATGTAATTCATTCCTGTCAATGTAGATTAACATATTAATCTCAATTGTATTCATTTTTTATTTTTTTCTTGTTGTGTAAAAAGTAGAAAAAAAGCAATTACAATTAAACCGAGATTAAAGTTTACCTAGATTGGTAAAAATGGTCCCAAAAAAATCTCAACAAACCATGAATGTAATGCTATATCGTAAAAGTAAATAATGTATTAGGTGTGGGAAAAAGTTCGTGGCGTTTTTCCCGTTAGATGGCATTAAAAAACGTCACCAACTTTTTCCCACACCTAATATATTAATTTATATATATATA